TTTCACTCATCAGCACCTGGGTTCAAGCCCTGGTCAAAGCAACATCGAAAAAAATTTAGAAAAAGGTTTTTACTTAACAGCGGTCGTCCCTCGGAAGGCAATGGCAAACCTACCTCCGAGTGTATTTCTGCCATGAAAAACAGCTTCTCATAAAAATACAATCGCCGTTCGGAGTCGGCGTAAAACTGTAGGTCCCTCCGCTTTGTGTGACAACATCAAGGCGCACGCCACAAGTCGGAGGAGAAGCTCGGCCAAACACTAACATATGTGTAAGCGCCAATCTATTATTATTATTATTAATTTACTGGTCTTCACTATGCAAATCAACTTCAAAAAGTTTAACTGTTAATATCTAAGTTAGTTTTAGGACCAGCTTATATATAGAAATGCCTGTTTAGCTTTTAAACGACGTAAAGATGAAGTCTCTATGATGGGCAGAACTCGAGATATAACGATTTGAAGAAGTAAATGATTTGTCAGAATCACGAAACCGAAAAAAAAATCCTCGAACTCGTTTTAGATTATTTCATGTATAGAACCGTAAAAAAATTTGAAGGCAATCGAAAGTGTGACACCAAATTTCGTGTCCGATAATGAAAAACAATGTCTCATATATACAACGATATGACTCCGGCATGACTTAACTGTGTGTTGTCGAAAGGCGAGTCAACACGTACAAAAATGGCTGACGAGTCAGACGCACCGTGTATGCCGCCTATTACTCGAGAGAAGTTTTGTTAAAAGTCCACAGATACATATCGATGGCTGAGTGGAAGATCGAGCTATCTCGGCAGCCAGTTCGAAAACGCCCTATCTCAGAAAACTTTTCAAAAACGCCCTACTTCAGAATTTGACTGAAAAACGCTCTATCTCCAAATTTTATTGAAAAACACCCTATTTCAGAATTTGGTTGAATAACGCCCTATTTCATAATTCGGTTCCTAGACGCCCTATCTCAAACGAAAATACATTGAAAATAAGCTGAGATAGGGCGTTTTTGAATCGGCAACCGAGATAGGACGTTTTTGAAACGAATTCTGAAATAGGGCGTTTTCAATTAAATTCTGAAGTAGGGCGTTCTTGAAAAGTTTTCTGAGATAGAGCGTTGTTGAGAATTTTTCTCAGATAGGGCGTTTTCGAACTGGCTGCCGAGATAGCTCGATCTTCCACTCAGCCATCGATATGTACTTACATGTATTTTTTTGCAAGATTTTATTAAAAATGTTCATCACGCGTAAGTTTCTAATCGATTTTAAACTAGCTCCTTACAAGTGCAAGAATTACGCTCATTAAATTATAGAATGTGCACATCGGGCTAATAACTTAACTTGTACAGACCAAGCAAAGCAGCAGCCTTTGAAGAGAGTCGTCAGCACCACCAAATTTCTATTGCAACCTGGTTGGCTTTCCGAGGCTCCAATCAAGATTGTTGGAATACAAGATTGCGCCCAACAGAGAGGATTTTTGAGCGCCTTGGATACAAGTCTATTTGTCTATATTCTGCTTTACTCATAAAAAGGTAAATAAACTAATAAG